CAGGTGCAGAGGACACAGGTGCAGAGGACACAGGTGCTGTCACTCCAAAAAGCAATTTAATGAAGCAGTTTGTCTCTGATGCTGAAGCTGATGTTCTGTGTCTGAAGGAGTCAGTGTCAATGATGTAGATTTCCTCCTGGGCGACGCAGTGGCTGAGTGGATAGCACTCGCGCTTTTCAGCAAGAAGGTCCTGGGTTCGAATCCTGGTCTGAGCAGTGGAGTTTGCCTGTTCTCCGGTGTCTGTGTAGGTTTCCTCTGGGTGCTCCAGTTTCCCCTACAACTAAAACCATGTACAACAGTTATGAATGGAGTGAGTGAGTGAATGGATGGTGTTGATTGGGGGCTTTGATGCACCAAAGTCTTCTGTCTTCACTGTGTGTTGGGCAGAGGAAGAGGGACACTGATGCTGAACCGTTAGGAAAGAGGGTTCTCCGGTTGGAACCATAGACTTATAATTAAAGAACGTAGTCATGCCTATCTCTGCCATTGAAACTTAAGTGCCATCACTTTTTCCTTCTATGGTGCTTTTTCAAAATGGCCGCGGGCTGAAGGAAAATGTGAAAAAACACATTTGTGCATGCATTTGCCGGCACCAGCTCCATTAATTTGACGAGTGCCTTCTGAAGTCCTCAGAGGCTAAACTAGAGTGGTCCAAAAACATATGCTCCCCTCAGCATTGCCACAGATCTGGAACGTAGCTTTGGGTCTAGAGCAGATTTTTGGATCATCCTGTTTAGCCGTTTTTGAGAGAAAAGAAGACACCACAAGCGTTGAATAATTCTCTTTCTGGGTCCACCCCCACCGGCCCCGGTGTGGTACTGCAAGTATGTCAGCGCACATGCTTGTGGACGTTTTTGAGAGAGGAAGGAGCAGAGAGGGAGCAGAGCAGGAGGAGAAGAGGGGGAACAGCAGAAAGAGAGGAGAACAGTAGGAGCTGAGGAGGAGCAGGGGGGAGGAGAGAGGGAAACGTCTTGAACATTGTCTTGCAGTGCACTGCAAGACAAACTTCAATCGTACTTCAGATATCAAAGCTATTTTAAAAAGATTTTTCCCAGTAAGTAGATATTACTCATTTATAGTTAGTTTATTTAAAGCTTGCCTATGTCACTCAGGGTTTTCTTTGAATTGAACTCTCTCTGTTCAATTCAGGCAGGTGTGATAATGGCAGGGTGTCCTGGTGGCTGAGTGGGTAGCACCATTGTCTCTCAACTACAGGGTTCTGAGTACGATTCCCGGTCGGAGCATAAGCAGAAATTTAAACTTTATTGCAATCACTCGAGTTTACTTGGTAATATCAAGTAAAGGATGTACTCGAGTAATTCAAGTGAAGTTAATACGCAATTTATTTCCAAGGTTTTTTCAAGTAAACTTTACTTGTTAGGGTTTACATAACTTCTCTTGTGTGTGTATTGTTATTTTTATTGACATTTTTTTCTTTTAACTTTATCCTGTGTTTGTGCAAATGTGAACAAGGGACTAATGCACAATTTTCTTTGGGATCAATACAATTTCTATTAATTCAGGTTTGAAAAAAACCTATTATCTTGATTTCCTCAAAGTCTAAAATCAATATTAAGATTTCATATAAGATTGATGCATACATGAATAATGTCATAGATTAAAGCAAAATAGGTCCTGTTTAAGCAGTGTGACATCACTGCAGAAAGATCAAACACACGTCTGATCGATGGTTTCTAACTAAAAGCTGGTGTGTGATATTTATTGTACTTATGAATGTCCAGGTCGATGATCCAGGTCCACATCCTCCACAAACAGAGGAATAAAACACAAACAATGGATCATGTGGACTCTGCCAAAACCTGCACCATCTCCACGTGAAACAATCAAAGCGTTGCTAGGAGACAGAGGCCACTCATCCTCAAATCCTCAACACGTGCTGTGTGCACATGACGAGGACCCCGATCCAGACCTAATTCAGAACCCGTCCAGACCCCCCCAATCCAGACCAGCAGCAGTGACATGTGGTCACCTTCCAAAAAACCTGATCTCTGACCTTTGTCTTTTATTTACTACAAATACACACTTTGGTGCAAAAAAGCTTATCCCACTCTGATCAGCGGGGCTCTGATTGGTCAGAATGGCCACATGTCCTTTTCAGGTCTCTCTTTGGTCTCTCTAATGTGTATGTGACAATAATAACCCGTAGCGGTGATAGATCCTTATGATCAGAATGTGTGTGTGTGTGTGTGTGTGCATGTGCGCTGTGAGTAGACAGTATGAGTGTAACACACTGTCACACGCTGTTCTCTGGAGGTAAACATCGTCTATGAAAACATCTTATATGAGGTCACACAACACACAAACACGGAAAGTAAATTGGAGAAATTACATGACATTCTTTTATGAGCAGCAGGTACACAGCCGTCAGTGACACACTATGATTATGTTATTGTTTTAACCAGACAGAGCTGAGTATCATGATTGGAGTAAAGTAGTGACTGTAATGGAGCGACTGTAGTGTAGGGACTACAGTGTAGTGACTTTAGTGTAGTGACTACAGTGTAGTGACTGTAATAGAGTGGCTGTAATGAAGTGGCAGTAATGTAGTGACTGTGTTTTGTTGTTATCCTCTGCACCGCGAGATCTTCTGGTAGAAGACGGCTGAGGCTGAAGCAGGAGCAGGCACTGCGTGGGCAATAGTACATTATACAGGTGGACAGACTGACATCATTTTGAGTTTGTTGGAGACAAAAGCTCTATCAACCTCACGGAATAGCATCATAAGCTACATTTAGTTTGTTTAGTTTAGCTTGTTTGTATGTCACATACACATTACATGCAGTGACATTCGTATGTACCTCCAGCAGATGTTCAGTACAGTATTCACACAACAACAGAATAGTAATTACACAGAAACAGAGACAGAGAGAGGTCTGGTTTAGCGGTCTTATGTCTTCATGGTAGAAACTCCTTCTCATCCTCTAGTGCCTCCCAGACAGACGTCTCATCCCTGACCTTTGTCTTTTTTTTCTACAAATACACACTTTGGTGCAAAAAAACTCATCCCACTCTGATCAGCGGTGCTCAGATTGGTCAGAATGGCCACATGTCCTTCTCAGGTTTCTCTCTTTCCCTCTTGTCTCTCTCTAATGTGTATTTGAAAATAATGACCTAAACTAAACTCTTTAGTAATTCCCGTAGTTGTGATGGATCCTTATGATCGGAGTGTGTGTGTATGTGTGTGTGTGTAGACAGCGCGAGTGTAACACACTGTCACACGCTGTTCTCTGGAGGTAAACATCGTCTATGAAAACATTTTATATGAGGTCACACAACACACAAACACGGAAAGTAAATTGGAGCAATTACATGACATTCTTTTATGAGCAGCAGGTACACAGCCGTCAGTGACACACTATGATTATGTTATTGTTTTAACCAGACAGAGCTGAGTATCAGTGATTGGAGTAATGTAGTAACTGTAGTGTAGTGACTGTAATGTAGTAACTGTAGTGTAGTGGCTGTAGTGTAGTATCTGTAATGTAGTGACTGTTTTCTCTGCTGAGCGTATAATTATATAATTACAGTATATATAGCATCATAAGCTACAGTTAGTTTGTATTATAATCTATCAATATATGAACTGGTTCAACTTGTAGAGACAGTGGGACGTGTCAGCAGCCGTTGACACGACCTGATATGTGGCATGAAAATGTTAGCCATCATTTATCTTTACGTATTGTTTGACACAAGTTCTGCAGACAAGATTCTATAAAGTGCTTTACAACAATGGGAGTCGTCCTGTTAAGTGTCATAAGGCAGACACAGGGCTGCTTGAGAATGTAAATATGTAAATATTGTAATAGATGGAGGTGAGTCTTGGTAAAACATTTATCTTCTCTGTTGTCGCTGACAGCAGTATTTCCACCTCAGGGGCATGTGACCAGTGATTCAGGAAAAGTAAACAGCATCAGCTCATGACAGATGTGCAACAGGGGTCTGCTGCATGGACAGGTGTACATAGTCTCACTAAAAATGCATTGAAAGACAGAATATAAGCGACAGCAAGATAAACACACACCACACAATAAAAACAGTTCACACACAAAAAGAGATAGTGAGATAGTTAAATGGTTTTAATCAAAGGCCAGGTACTGGTCAGTGTGAGTGGACTTTCTGAAGACCTCAGTCTCTAATTGTCCGTTCTCAAGTATATGGTGTTTAGTCTTTGATAAATGTCACAGTTGAACTCATGTCTATTGGGACAATAACTGCTCCCTGGTCACAAGTGGGAAATACAGTTGCCTTGAACGCAGCATCCTTTCAAACATTCCAGTTGGTTTGATCTTATCTAATTCCCTTTAATCCAATTTAAATAGCACACTTATTCTTCACAGAAACTAAAACCACAACAAATTATGCAAGTCTACCAGCTGTGAGACAATATTATTACATAATAATAAAAAATATATACATCGAGCTGGAACCAGATTTTAGTTTTGTGGACGGCAGAAAAATTGTTCCTGACTATGGTTTACATAACTCCCTCTCGTTGACACACTAAATGTTGTGGAATGTCTGTACAAGGCAAGAGAATAAATAGTGAAAAGAAGGTAAACAACTCCAGCTTTAAGGAGGAGGAGGCCAGTGTCTGTGCTCCTCAGAGTCCCAGCAGGAGGTCACAGATGTACTTCGGTCTGAGACCAAGGAGAAACGATTTATTTTTTAACATTTCTTTCACAAAATGCTTCTTTCCTATGTTTTGGCCCTGCAGCCGCACTCCCGCCTGTGGCCTGTAGATGGCGCTGGAGGTGCTCCTGCTGCAGTTAAGCCTTATGTGATGCTTCAGCAGAAGAAGATGGATGGTAAACAAACTGCACACTGATTTTCCACGTTACAGTGGCTTTCATCTTTCCATCAGCACCTGATCAGCACACAAGTCTTAACAGTGCCCGCCCCGTGTCTCTCCGGCTGAGACCGGGCAAAGCGCTGTAGGAGGAGCGTGTGGAGGAGAGAGAGAGAGAGAGAGACCGGGGCTTATGAACCACGCCTGCGGGGACAGAGTGAACCCAAACCCGCGATTGCCCGAGTGCTGTGGAGGCCTTGAGAACGTGGACATGTCTCAGGTAAAGAAGGAGGCAGCAGCGGCCGCGGTGGGAGCTAACAGAGCTGTGATGCTAGCTCACACCGGAAGTGCAGGATCATAATAAAAAACGGTCTCGTCATCAATGTGTTTGCTTTAAACTGAAATCTTACCACAATTAAAAACTGTGACATCTTACCAGAAAAAACCTGTTGTATTACATTTTAATTTCGCAGGAACTGAATGTATGTGAGCCAGGTTTGGTGCATTTATTAATTAAACGATATTAAGACAGTTTTGAGGCACCAAAGACACGGACACAGGCACTTTCTCTACTGCACCATGACTTCCCTCAAACTTTTCCTGACATGTTGTATTACATGTTTTTTAATGAATAAATATATATATTAGTCCTCTATCTTAAGTGAGGGCTTCACTCTCTGTTTCTCATCAAATCTCTGAAAAAAATCGGCTATAATAACTATGTATTCAAGTCAGAATATGTTGTGTTGCTCTAAATCACAACAATAGTCGTCTCAGAGGACTTCACAAAGTCAAAAAATCAAATGGTTAGAACACAGGAAATGCAATGGAGTTTTTGCTCTAAAGGGACCGGGATGACCAATGTTCACAACTGTCCCTGACCATCACTGTCCTCAGACACTCCTGCATCAGAGAGGAACCACTAAAAAAAAAGAAAAACAATGAAAATATGAGGACCCCCAGGGAGGCCAATATTGAGAGAGCGATCCGCTCCCACGAACAGAGGCTGTAGATCCAGGATAGAGGCTGTAGAACCAGGACTGAGGCTGTAGAGGCAGGACCAAGGCTGTAGACCCAGGACTGAGGCTGTAGACCCAGGACTGAGGCTGTAGATCCAGGGCTGTAGAGTAGACCCAGGACTAAGGCTGTAGACCCAGGACTGAGGCAGCTCCCAGGCAAGAGGGAGTCGGGAAAAACACTCTACCGGTGCAGATAGAGGTTGGGGTTCCATCATCTCTCCATGAAACAGACAATGAAACAGACAACAGCTGACAGCCGACATCTTTTTTAGACTTTAGGAACCACAAGACGGCTGGCGTTTTGTTAGCACAGTGCTCAGTTTTGTTTAATTCTATACTGGTGTGGAGGGATTTTAACACTGGAATTTTGTTCCCCCTCCTTTCGGTGCCTGTTAAGATCCTTGCTGCTGTACTTTGAATAAGCTCAAAGCTCTATATAGAGATTTTTTTCTTTTCTTTCTGGCATAGTTTGTCATGGGCTCTACTTTCAATATTTAATTTTCTTTCACGAACACCTCATTTTCTTAGCTTTTTGTCAAAAACTCGTGATTTCTGTCATACTCCCTATTTTCCACTGCAGATTACAGGAGAACGAAACAAGCTAGAAACTTATTTTTGCTGCTGAAAGCAGATAGTCCAGTCTTTCAGACTTTCTCATATTTCTCATAGTCATAGCACACAGTATTCTGCAAGTGTTGAAAATCAGTGACGTCATCAAAGATGTTAGTTAGACCTCGTCTCAACACAAATTATTAGGAAACATTGTTAGACTCTTTTGCTGCCAGAAGCTCTCGCTCTCAGAAAAGTTAATATTAAACTGGTATTGGTCAGATGAGTGCAAAGTTAAACATGGGTTACATATGAACTATACAAAATACTTACTTTGGTTTGAACTCACATATTCCTATTGCTTTTCCTCTTTCTCTCACTGGCTTTAAACTCTGAGACTGTGCAAAAATAGCCACATGAAAGACCTCACTTTCTCTGATCTATCCTTACGAGTGTTACACAAAGACTGGAGCGGTTTCCTGCTGATGCTGTGTCTGCTCTCATGGTACCGTTCTCTCTCAGATAGACCTGTGCTCTCATGGTACCGTTCTCTCTCAGATAGACCTGTACTCTCATGGTACCGTTCTCTCTCAGATAGACCTGTGCTCTCATGGTACCGTTCTCTCTCAGATAGACCTGTACTCTCATGGTACCGTTCTCTCTCAGATAGACCTGTACTCTCATGGTACTGTTCTCTCTCAGATAGACCTGTACTCTCATGGTACTGTTCTCTCTCAGATAGACCTGTGCTCTCATGGTACCGTTCTCTCTCAGATAGACCTGTACTCTCATGGTACTGTTCTCTCTCAGATAGACCTGTGCTCTCATGGTACTGTTCTCTCTCAGATAGACCTGTACTCTCATGGTACCGTTCTCTCTCAGATAGACCTGTACTCTCATGGTACTGTTCTCTCTCAGATAGACCTGTGCTCTCATGGTACCGTTCTCTCTCAGATAGACCTGTACTCTCATGGTACCGTTCTCTCTCAGATAGACCTGTGCTCTCATGGTACCGTTCTCTCTCAGATAGACCTGTACTCTCATGGTACCGTTCTCTCTCAGATAGACCTGTACTCTCATGGTACTGTTCTCTCTCAGATAGACCTGTACTCTCATGGTACTGTTCTCTCTCAGATAGACCTGTGCTCTCATGGTACCGTTCTCTCTCAGATAGACCTGTACTCTCATGGTACTGTTCTCTCTCAGATAGACCTGTACTCTCATGGTACCGTTCTCTCTCAGATAGACCTGTACTCTCATGGTACTGTTCTCTCTCAGATAGACCTGTACTCTCATGGTACTGTTCTCTCTCAGATAGACCTGTGCTCTCATGGTACCGTTCTCTCTCAGATAGACCTGTACTCTCATGGTACTGTTCTCTCTCAGATAGACCTGTACTCTCATGGTACTGTTCTCTCTCAGATAGACCTGTGCTCTCATGGTACCGTTCTCTCTCAGATAGACCTGTGCTCTCATGGTACCGTTCTCTCTCAGATAGACCTGTACTCTCATGGTACTGTTCTCTCTCAGATAGACCTGTACTCTCATGGTACCGTTCTCTCTCAGATAGACCTGTGCTCTCATGGTACCGTTCTCTCTCAGATAGACCTGTACTCTCATGGTACTGTTCTCTCTCAGATAGACCTGTACTCTCATGGTATTTTTCTTATCAGATAGACCTGTACTCTCATGGTACCGTTCTCTCTCAGATAGACCTGTGCTCTCATGGTACCGTTCTCTCTCAGATAGACCTGTGCTCTCATGGTACCGTTCTCTCTCAGATATACCTGTGCTCTCATGGTTCTCTCTCTTTCAGATGGACCTGCGCTCGCATGGTTTTGTTCTTTCAGATGGACCTATGCTCTCATGGTGCTCTTCTTTCAGATGGACCTGGCACCAGTGCAAACACTCTTCAGACTAATGGACTTCACTGAACCCACCTTTTGTGTGGCTGTTGCTGCCATCGTCTTCAACCCTCTCTTCTGGAATATGGTAAGTGCAAACAAACGATGTTACCTGAGACTCAGGGACTCGCCTTAAACAGAGTGTGCTTATGTAAGAGCTCTAAGAGGAAAGGCTCAGGGCTGAAGATCGCTGTTTGACACATTTGTTAATGACTCCTATAGCTTGCGGACTACATAATATAAGTTAAGATATTCCCTTATTTTTCCCACAGTGGGAAAATTCCAGCATCATTGTTGCGCACATTACAGCAGAGAAAGAAGGAAATAAGAGCACTCAGATTGTACACATCAAACAGAGTCAATTATTTACGATTATCTTAAATAATAGACTCTGTTTTATAGATAGATATTTAGATAGATACTTTTTGATGCCTGCAGGAAAAATTCAGGTGTTCAGCAGCAGCAAAAACACATTCATCCACACAAACAAAAGAAATAAATGGATCATTCTAAAAAGCTAACGATAGTAATAGTAATAATAATAATAATTAGAAACAGCCCTTCAGGGCACAGCAGCAGAGGTGTAGCCACTTGGTTCGGATCATTTTCTCTGCTCTGCTAAAGGCTTTGTTAGCATTTTTCAAAAAGTTAGCCTTCCTCCAGTGGATTTTTGCCTGATCCGCTTTTTTGGGACCATGAATCCTCTCCGCACCTGTCTGGATCAGTGTGAAACCCATGAATCTAGTCATCTATGGGCACAGGGGGTGCCCGTGGTACTGCAGACTAAATTCACGTGGGCTATCCAGAAAAAAGTCCCATAGAACTCAATGTAAATTAAGACAGCTCGACCTCAGCTGACAGAGAAACTACAGCTTTCATAAAGATCGGATTTTGCGGGGATTTTGGTGTCAGTCACAAACTCTGCTCGTTTCCTTCCCGCTCTGGCTCCACTCTACTGCTGCTCTAATCAGCAGCTCTGATTGGTCAAAGCGCGGCAGAACCCCTCTGTGGATCTGCATGAAAGTCACACGCATATTTGGCGCAACGCATCATGGGAGCTCGTCCACTACTCAGAACCGGGAGGACCAGACGATGCCCAAATATAGGCGAGTTCCGCTAATCTTTCGGTCTCCGTGAAATCCCATGCGCTACTGAGCACAAGCCATTCATTAGAATACGGCGCCATCTTGGATCGCTGGGGCTTGGTAAAACCATGAACAATGTACTGCAGCCACATCTCAAGTAAAAAAAGCAAGAAAAACAACAAAACAAAACAGCAACTGTTTCAGAGCAACTTAGGACTTGCTGTTGTTTCCAGCAGATTCAAAAGTTATAACTTTTACATGTTATACATGTTATGGATGTGTGTGTGTGTTTTTTTGTGTGTGTGGGTGTGTGTATTAATAAATCAAATTGAATGGATAAAGCGCTTTTTATACAAGATATGCAACACATAGTGCTTTACAGTTTTCTTAAAGACAATCGCACATGCCCATGACCCCTCCACCCTACCACCCAGCACACCCACCCAAAATCAATTTTTTTATTAGATACATACACACACACACACACATACACACACTTACACACACACACACACACTTACACACGCAGACACACACAAACACACACAAATTTAGACTTTATTTACTGGATGTGGGACAAGGATTATTTTGTGCCCGGTTTTAGAATGCTAGTTTCTGGTTGGTGATGTAATTATATAATACAAATGTTTTGATCTGGTGAAATCTCCCATGGGCAGGTCATGCAAAGCGGCCAGGGAATTTGTCCTTGTGCTCTACTGCCAGTGTCCCTGTGCTCTGCTCTTGGCCTAACCCTATCATTGAGGAAATACACAAAGATGTGAGTGTTTGAAACAGATTTATATATAGATGTATATCTGTGTGTGTGAGGAGCACTGTGCCCTGTCAGCAGTAACTGGAGATGGTTGTTCTGACCCAAAGATCCAAACGGTTAAAGTCAGAGTGAGCAGGACGCAGCGACACAGATCTGCTTCTGCTGAAGATGCGTCACTACAAAGACTGTCTTACTATGTTTGCTCTTGTTTTTTATAAACCAAAAGGTCAACAGAAAAATGAGAAGTCAATAACAATAATGTATTGGTTTTATATTGTGCTTTTCTGCGCTATCAGGGGATCAATGTGATCTTTTCTGTGGGCTTCTCTGTGTCTCTGTAATCTTCTCTGTGTTCTCTGTGAGCTTCTCTGTGTCTGTTTTCTCTGTAATCTTCTCTGTGAGTTTCCTTGTGTTCTCTGTGGGTTTCTCTGTGTCTGTGTTTGCTGTGTCTCTGTGTTCTCTGTGGGAGAAGCTTCAGCCTGTTGGGGCCACAGGACGAAGGTTTAGGGTTATCATTGAGATAATGATAACCCTAAACCTGTGTCTGTAGTAATGTGTGACAGTGGAGGAAAATAATTCTGTTCAGTTTCGCAATATTTTGTCCACGCAATAAAATCAATACAGTGGATCGAAGATATTTAATTAATGATCTGAGATTTCTCTGTGTCCATCCTAGGTTTTTGTTCCTCTATGATGTCTGCTTTTCGTGACTCTTTTATATAACGAAAAGCATATAGACAATATACTTAGAGACAATAAGCATATTACCTGTTTTTTCCAAGGTTCTACAGAAATGGGTTGTGAAACATTTGCACAGTTGCAATTTTGTGGCTGAACTTGTTTTTTTGTTCTTCTGTCTCAGGCTGTTGTGTTGTTTTCATTCAGCTGTGATTTACATATAGACAATAATGAATGCATTTAATTATTCAACAATAATTAAAGGAAATGTATTTAATTTAGGGCTGTCAAACAAATAATTTTTTTAGTTGATTAATTGCATAGTAATGGTGAGTTAACTCACGATTAAGCGCATTTTTAACATTCTATTTCAAATCCACTCCAATTGAAGTTAAATTAGATTTTCAAATGTAATGACACATTGTTATTCATACCAAATGTACTTAAATCTGTTTGACTTGCTCACAACCTTCTACTTTTGGGTACAACCAACATGAGCTGTTAATGAAAGGGAAAATGTAGGTACCCCAGCTTTAATTTTGCGAGTTTGGTTGCATTTCAGCGTGTCTCCTCCTCTCCTCCGTGTGTCACACAACATCAAAGAATGGCCCCTGTGCATGTATATATATGCGTGTATTATATGACCACGTTACCGCTGTCACCATCACACACACGCACGTGTCCGTGGCATTCTGAGTGATATCATTATAAATGGGCGGGTCATTCGGACATGCGTAATGACTGCCAGCCTATTTCAGAACAGGTACTCCCATATTGCCAGCCGTTTCTGATGATTTTTACTGAATTTTCAAGACCCACAGAATATTGTGTACTATGACTATCTGAAATCCAAAACCAGATTCTGAAAGAATGGACTGTCAACTTTCATCAGCAAAAAATATTTTGTTTCTAGCTTGTTTCGTTCCCCTGTAATCCCCAGTCGAGTAGAGGTAAGTTTTATTGAAATCACCAGAAAGCTGAGAAAAAAGAGGCACAAGTGCATCTAGCTGTTTTCAAACCATTCATAGAGCAATGCTGCCATCTGCTGGCTCGATAGAATATTGCCTCAAGCCTTACCTATTTGATACAATAGACATCTGGGAACGTGAAAATAGCGGGTTAATTATTTTTTTTACGCGTTAATGAAAACGTGAATTAACGTGAATTAACGCGATCATTTTGACAGCCCTAATTTAATTTACATACTTGTGTTTCACATGTAATATCGTGTAACATTTTCATTAAAGTCATTAGATTAAATTAATCATAGGCCATTTTATTTATTTTCAAGACTATGCCAAAAAATGAGTATTTAACCTACCACAGAGAGACATGTTGTTGTGGAATAAAATGCTGGGAGCAGAGCTTCAGATTAGACGCAGTACATTTGGAACTTTCAACATATTTTTGATTGCACGTACGCGTAGATGTGCTGGATCATGTTCTGGCTCAAATCAAGCGCCGATGTTTAGGTCGGAAGATGTGGAATTGTGTGGAACTGATTCAGAACAATGAACAAGTCTAGCATTGTTCAAGTCTTAAATGTTTTATGAGGTTTGTAGCTTACAGAAGCAGACACACACAGAGCGGAAAGTAGGTGAACAGTACTGTGTCCTTGTTTTTATGCTTTAGAGTCTAACATTTATAATAATAATTTTAAACATCCTGAAATGTAATTCATTATTTAGTGATTAAAGTTATTATCTGTTAAGATGTTATTTGTTTTTGTTTTTTATCTTTTGAGTTCGCTCGAAACGGCAGTAAGTCCTAAGTCCTTCCTGAGATGTTTCTGCAGTACAGGATAAGGCAAAAATCCACTGGAGCAATGCTAATTTTTGGACAAATGCTGATGAAGCATTCAGCCTTTTACTTTGGACTAGAGCAGAGAAAGTGGTACAAATCTAAACGGCTACTCCACCTTGTGACCTGTCCTGCTCCACCCAGAGGCTACGCCATCTCTGTTGCTATGACCTGAAGGGCTTTTTGGAATGATCAATTTCATGTTTTATCTTTGCTGCTACGGGGATCAATAAAGTATCTATGTATCTATCTAGAGGTAAAGAGGGCGGGACAAACTAACCATGTAACTAGATGGGACAGGTGCAGCTTGTATAATGAGGGCCCCATATGGTTTTGCACTCATTTCAGTGTTTTCTACAATAAACCAGTGGAAATGAGTCTACGGCGACGTGTTGTGTTTGGTGTGAGTCAGAAAGCGGGGGCTCAGAGAATACGTGATGTTTAGAAGCAACACAGTACTGTTCATTTCCAGCCTCAGCAGGAGGAGGAGCAGGAGCAGGAGCCTCAGTGGGTTGCTCTGGCTCCAGACTGTGGCACACTGACCTGATTCTGAAACGGGGCCACGCCTGCTGTTTACCTCCCTCTGATGTGTTACGTAGGGGTCTGTGGGGGTCTTTCTGTGACATCACACCTGCACAGAGCACCCAGGGGCCTGACCCTAACCCCTATCCTGAATCCACACAGGCCTGACCCAGGTGCTGGTTGGTTTCACATAATAGTAGAATAATAATCAATCGATCACATTTTGTGTATAAATTCCATTTCATACAGAAAATGCAAGTAAGTAAGTCATGTTTATTTATGTAGCGCATTTTACAGACCAAGGTCACCCAAAGCGCTTTACAATTTTCAGAATTGCAACA